ATCGAGATTTTTTCTAGTACTGTATACTGGCAGACTGTATATTTGAACTGTAAGTACTATCCTTAATATACGCGCGAGTTACTAGGGTGCCGGGGCAATTATTGAATACAGCTTTCTTTTAACATGAAGAATTATGCAGATCCCTGAGGATATAAGACGAGCCTTTCAACTCAAAACATCATTACAATCAGGGGGGGGCTGGCAACGGCCTTTGATCTTGCCGTTTTTCGGCTTTCCATGATCGCCCCAGTTAAGAAATCTGTCAATCATTCGAGAACTGTAGCGAGCATGCGCGAAACGGGCTGGGAAAAACAACAAGAAGCTCATCTTCGCAGCGATTCGACAGTGTGAAGTAAATTCGCGTTTATGATTTTAGTCCTGTTGGTCATTGCTTTCTTTCGACTTTGCCATAATCAATTTTTTTCCGCGGTAATGTGAAGCTTACGTTTTCCTTTCTCCTGGTCTTGCGTTTGTCATTACGTGCGGTTTGCTACGCTAAGAACGAAGAACGAGACTAGTGAACATGTTCTTGGATGTCCGACTTTTTGACTATGTGTTTCTGTTTAGGAGACCCACAAGACTAAAAGAAGGGCCAGCCCTCCAATACGTATGTAGAACAATTTATATTTTCAAGTGAAAGGCCCAAAATTAATTCTTCGCGGTATTAAAAAAAAGTGCGGTGGCTGTGGTCGAGTAGAAGAGTTGTCAGAGTTGTTTACGGTTTTACTGGACCTTTAAGACGAGAAGAAATGATGATTGAGATTCTTAATTTTACATCCTTGATTGTGAACTTATCCTGGCAGAGTTGTGTTGGATGATTGAGTATTGGCATGGTCAAATCTCGTAGTTCATGTAAATTTCTTTTATGTACTAGAAGCTACATAAATTTTGCCAAGAGATCATTCTTGATTTTGCACATGTTGATATGTTAAAGTTTCGCTCTTCGTGTGATTTAATTTAAACTTTACCGTAGTTTCTAACAAATGAATCTTAAGGAAAATGAAAGCGTAATTATTTTGTTGTGTTTGGAATTCAATTTTCATGACAGAAGTTATTACACTGCCTTCAGTTTGAGTTCTCATTCAAGTGTGTTTTGTTGCAAACAAAGAGGGAATAATTATAAATTCCAAAAACTACCCCTTGGAACAAGATTATGGTTTAACAAAGTTGGGATTAGCTAGGTTCAGAAAATGAATGTTCAACTTTGCATGTTTTGACAAGGACCACATCTGGTTAAATATGCTTCAGGAATAATTATAAAGTCAGGAAAATGGTAACATTTCTATTTTTACCTTTCCTTTGGCCACTGTGATCAGTTTTTGCCATACAGTTGCATGTAATTTTTTACACCTTCGGACATCACTCAACCTGCCAGGTTAGTTTGTGTCTGTGCTATAAGTAAATGTAGTTAATGAAATCAAATCCTCTCAAATCCTCCCAACTGGATATGAAAAACACCATAGGATGCCTTGGAAAAAATATATTTATTTGTAGTCAACTGAATAACAGTTGGAAACTTGTGTTGAGGCAGGCAAAAGCCTTTTTCAGAGACCATAAACATTCACTGACTTTGCTGTTACGACAAGTGGTAAAAGGGTATTAAAATGTGAGATCACCTCCCTGGGCTTGCACTGAAAGAGAGTATGGGTAGTAGGACACATTGTTTATTTCCCTACCCTTTTTAAGCCAGGAGACCTTATTTTATTATTCTGATTCATTTCATTTAGCATACAGAATTAAGTTAGCTTTTAAACTTAGAAACATGGAAAAAACTTGGGGAAAAAATGGTGGTACCAAAAATGTCACTATAGACTACTCTTCATCAACCTTCACAGCCCAAACAGACACCCTGTTCAAAACTCTAAAGGATGAAATGGTCACCATCCTAAATCAGCAGCACATACCCATCTAGGCCAAATAAGCCAAGGGTAGTATCACAAAAAGAACTGCTGAAGGGATTGGGCTTAAGGGACAATAACTTCTTTTGACGGTTGATATAAAATCAATTTTACCTTGTTTGTTTTTGTTGTAAATCAAATTCATAACTTACACAAACAACTGAGGTTGTACATTTTTTAAGCTCCTTCTGATTCTCTTTACAAACTTTGCAAAACATTCAATTTTCTTTTTTCTGTTTCTTGTACTTCAGTCCTTTGACGGATTCTCTCAATGCATACCCCTTTCTGATGTACTCACTCTTATTAGCAACTGGATACGCCTCTTGTCCCCACACTAAACCATTATAATCATTTCAAGTAAAATTCAGAACTACAGGGTAATTTTTGTGCAAACAATTTCAAGGAAATACTCGAAACCGAAGTCACTATCTAATACAAAACTACTAAATACAGTACTGTTGTAGGAAATTTATTGATTATCACTCCAATGATATTCCAGTGAAGGTTTTGAAGGTTCAGTAAAACCCTCCCAGCCTTCTGATATTAAAAATAGCTTATACTGACAGACCCAGTATATGTGAAGCAAAGTGACTGNCCCACACTAAACCATTATAATCATTTCAAGTAAAATTCAGAACTACAGGGTAATTTTTGTGCAAACAATTTCAAGGAAATACTCGAAACCGAAGTCACTATCTAATACAAAACTACTAAATACAGTACTGTTGTAGGAAATTTATTGATTATCACTCCAATGATATTCCAGTGAAGGTTTTGAAGGTTCAGTAAAACCCTCCCAGCCTTCTGATATTAAAAATAGCTTATACTGACAGACCCAGTATATGTGAAGCAAAGTGACTGGGAAATTTACCCTGGCTTTTACTAAATAAAGTGGCCCTGTATTCTGTATTTTCGCCCATAAATATTTGTTCTGGCTCTCGGTTTACAAACAAACTTACGAACAGCGAAGTAGAAAATTGGTTTAATGAACACTCCCATATGATTGTTGCAAGACTCATACTAATATAGTGAGCTCGTAGCATATGTTTAGGATAAGGAAGAGAGTTTGTAATACCACTGTAGGTGGAAAAATATAGGAGATGGAGACTAGGCTGGTTGCTCGAAAATTCACGAAGCTTATAAATTGCCGAAAGAACTTGCCGAGATGCCGAATCACGCTAAGTTAAGTCACCCATGAACTGTTCATACAGCACGCCTCTTGATGTCCAAAAATTCCACTAAAAATGTTCTCGAAAACCTTTTCTTGATGTTTGGACGCGGGAAAACTCAAAACCGAGCAAAAACTCATTGTCCCTGCATGTCATTCTCCGCCATATTTGTTTTGAAGGAAAATGGTACTCAGTCTCACTCGACCAAATTTCTTAACTGGGGCGATCATGTAAACTCGGTTCCAGACCTCGCTGCTAGCCCCCCCTGATTACAATACCTCCACGTAGACCTTAGAGAAAATGAACGGATTTTTTTTCTTTAAGATATTTTTCAAAAAGCAGTTGACATCCAGTGAATGGTATTTTTGCGTATTCCTGCTCCCCTTATTTGCTGGTCTTTTGGCTCTTTCGCCTTCGCTTTCATTCTCTTTTGCTATTTCACTGCCAGCAAAAACAACTAACCTGCTGCGCGGCTGTCTTACCTAACGTCATTCGTGGACAATTTTCTATATAGAAAAAGCCATGTCCAGAAAAGTTGGTGTAGACGACATTATCGTCGACGTTCTCTCCCGTTTTAACGTTGGAGAGATTCCCTTTAACCCGTAAGGTTTCCGTTCTTTGTTTCTTCGCATTGCTAAATGCGAATTTGTAACAAAATGGCAGCCTTTAATGGCAGCCTTTAAAAAAAGGGATGCTTATGTCGCATCAGGTGCTGTGGAATGAGTTGAACGCAGCTTCCATAAGGGCGTTGTATGCAAAGCTTTATCCATCTCCAGACAAAGTGATGGAACTACTTCAACCCAACGGAGATTACGTGCCCCTAAGCGCTCGCCGTGAGAGAGTTTTCGAATTCCTTCGGCGATATGACATATCGCCGAAGGAATTCGAAAACTTTCTCACGGCGAGCGGTTAGGGGCACGTAATAACGTTCGTGGTCTCTCCAGGGATAAGGTGCCTGTCTTCCTTCAGTTTGTAACAGGTAGTAGTCTGGTGCTCGTTCCACGTATTGAAGTGGCACTTACAACCCTTTCAGGAATCCAGAGGTGTCCCATTGTCCACACGTGTTCTTGCCGAGTAGACTTGTCTACTGAATACGAATCCTTTGCCGCATTTTGCAAAAAATTCGATACAGTTATCTCAAAAGAAGAGTATTTTCAGTACAATGCCATTTAAAGGTAGTAGATGGTTTACTGTACCACCCTTAAAGTATCCATCTTGTTATCCCTGTTTGCCGTTGGCAACCGTTGCTTGATCACGCTTTGTTAATGTTATTTCCGTAGTGCCTAAAGCTTAATCCACAATATATAAATCCTGAAAGTTGGCATCATTTGATGTAGTAGTTCTCACGGTGCATAGGATACTGAACGAACGATCCTAACGATTCGCTGAGCTTTAAACTTTAAGTTTCATTAACTCATTGAACTTAGAAATGCAAATTGATGTTGATCATTTGTACTGTATGTACCTAGCTAGAAGAGAAGATCCGTGCGTTGAGCGTGGTATTGCCTATCAAGTGATTAAGAAATTTGTTGACGTTTTCCAAGTACGTTATGTTGTTGTTAGTAAACTAAGGGACCCAACGTTGTTGTCACATCACCTTGGATCGTTTCTGCTTTGTGTGTATGATTCCTAACCTAAGAAACAGGTTAGGCTGTTAGTTTTGGTTCTGATAGAACTTTGATGAAGGAAGCCCTTATCAGATTTTTTTCACACCTGATGTGAGGTTTGACATAGTTTCAATAAAGTAAAGATCAAGTGCAATACTGACTAATAAACTCACAGACGTTTTATTGTTCAAACCTCTATATTTACTTCATTGACTCTGGATGGGTTCTTAGACGAAGCCTTATAAAGAACCCTAACATCTCATAACGTATGATATGAATCTAATCTAAAGCAGATTTTCCAGCAGTCTGGTAAGCACGAGGAATAATCAGAATAATTCTTTTGCTTGAGCTTGTGTCTGACCGTGGACTAGCTTGTGCGCCGCCATCAACTCCAGTGCAACGTCAGCAAACTCGGGTAAACATACCAGATCTATCCTCCTTGAAGAGCAGCATGTTTCACCAGCTTTCAAATCACTCTCAGAAACTGGATGCAGATAGGACGATGTACCTGCTTGTGAAAAATAGTTCCGGTTATTCGATTTGGTACGGCCTCAAAGTTCATAACCTCACTACAACAGTTATTTGACGTAATCACTTCTCTTTACACGAGTTCGTTGACTTGAAGGTTTGAACGGGGTCGGAAAATAGAGAAAACATGAATATAATTTTCAAGGGGGGCTTACCAAATGAAAATAACGGCGAAGCTCGTTGTCGCGTTAAGGGTTAGAAATGGTAGATCTTACTTAGGACGTTTAGTGCGGAAGACCAGTATCCTTATCCGCAAAGGTCCTTTTAGGTTGTGGGTAACGAAATATCTACAACATCTTCTAGATGAAAACTAACAGCAACTAAATAACTAAAATTTATAAGTAAATGCCGGCATCAGGTGTGTTTGACCCAAGGTTGGAGTATGGTTTCCTTAGGGGACATACAAGTCCTCATCTACGCCAAGATTGGTCTTCTTTAGGGGTTTAACTTTAATTTCCCGTCGAATATTATTTATTTTTTCATGTGAACGATGGCTTATACAATTACCCTCTAGTTCCGGGAGAAAGAGAAGCGTATCTGGTCGACCAGGGGGGACTCTCCACATTATGTTGCGAACGGATAAGATGCAAATTCCAGTGCTGGGCTACTCGATCGAGCAGCCTGAATCACTCTCATGAAGCAGAATCTAAGGCACTCGCTGAAAAAACCAAATGTGAACAACATTAGCTGCAGTGGTAACTCTTCAATATGAATTGATTTGAGTAAAAACCGTTACTCATTTGGGGAGAATTTAGGTTCTTGCTGTCACCGACCCTTGTTAACAGGGCTGCCTGTGCCTTTTCGCGTTTTATGACCCGTAGAACGACAATTTTTTTTTTGAATTTCCAGTTAGGTCAAAATAGTGACGTTATACTGTCACGCTATATCTTTGGGGGCAGAGGGATTAGGGGAGGGGTGTGTGAAAATAATGCTAATCGTTTCACGCTTAGAATGGCTGACTTGCTTGTCTTTATTCATAATGGTGGAATTAAGAAGTTATTATACTGCCCCGACTTAAAAAATGGTACTCATTTTCCTTGTCACGAAAGTCATCCAAAAGAGTACAGTAAGTGCGTACTGCCGCCCCATCCCCTCAGGAAAAATCGCCCCTTGGCAGTCCAGTTAAAATCGCCTTTCGGCGATTCTTGTTTTTAAACATACATGTGCATTTGATTGTAATCCTTAAAATCACCGCTGTCACGTAAGTCCTGCGAACGCACATTATTCTTATGTCAAACCTAAAGCGTGGTAATAAAATGAAAAACAAAAGAAAACAAATTAAGAAATAGAGAACGTAACGACCTGAGATTGCCACTACAGCATGAACGAAAGGAGTTACGATTTGGACACGTTTCGTGTTTTGCTACATCGAACTACTATGACTACGCCCAGACAATTTAAAAAATACCTTGAAAAAGTTAATCCACCAATCCATGTCAGAATGCCGCAAGTATGCCCACCATGCTTCTATGCGCTGGATAAACAAGAACAGAATTACGGTTTAAGAAAAAGAAAGCTATCCACTGATCGATCGCGTACACAAACACCACCGCTGAAAATTATGCGCGGCTTCGAAAATCATGTGCGGCTTCGAGTTTCGGACGATTCTTTATAGTAACACTCGTTTTTACAAGAATAAATTTAATAAGAACATCGAGGCTGAAATTTGCAAAATTTTACGACTGTTTCAAGATTAGAACCCAAGGCTGGGATTTTAAAAAGGATACTGACTTTGACTGTTTGTGGAAAATGTGTCAATACAGGTTTGTGGTAGCCTGTGTACAGCCGTCCCTTCCCTCAAAAAAGTCGGAAGGGGCGGCTGTACACAGGCTAGTTTGTGGGGAGGAGCGTTGCGTGACGACAATAAAAACGGCTGTGTAGCAGACTACAAAACTAGCCAACAAAACGAAAAAAACCTGCACTATAAACTATAATTGATACCCCAATACATTATAAAACAGAAATGCCATAAGCTATCATTTAAGGTAATACAAGAAAATTGTCAGCCTAAAATGGGCAGAAAATAAGAATAATCAGGCTGGGCCGGGCAAGCAACATTCCTGAAAAAAAAAAGAGTGATACAGCGCGAAAAAAAGAAAACTGTGCGGTTGGAAGCATCCAACCGCACGGCAGACAAAACTTCTAGTACACAAGGTAGGAGGACACTACCTACAGCTGTGCGATCAAGAATTTCTAAGTCTTTTTAGCTCCTGCCACGCAAGCAGTCAGCTGCAAATGTGTAACCAGGCACAGTAACTAAAATTGGTTGGCATTATTTTTACCTGATTTGCTGTGGATTTTCCGTACCGATAAAACTTTTGTCCCCAGAAAAGCTGTTGCGTCCGTTGGCTCTAAAAAATTTTTTGTAAGACTTCCACTTTTACATTCTCGGTTCCAGGATCGGCAGGAACAATCCTTGCGGTCCCTGAAATTAAAAGAATAACGACAAGGGTCTTTATTTACACGTGTAGGGCTCTGGAAGGTTTGAGAAACGGACTTCAAACCGGCCAAATTCTACCTTTCAGCTGAGCAGACGCAAACCAGAAAGTGATCAGCAATTACAGCAGCATCGTTGTTAGTGCTCCGGACTTCCAACCACATAATCCGTCTAGAATACCTATAAAAAAGGTTAACGGTACATAAGGACTGGGGATAATTCAAATTCCAAGCAAACTGAGCAATGTCCATGCATACTGATCATGAGTGCACTTAATCTATGAGGTTCCTACCCATCAATGCATCCATGAATTGCAAAGCCGTATGCTTTTAATTTATCATAGCCATCTATGTGCCCAAGGAAATTTGGTCCCCGAAATAAAAAGTAAACACCTTCATATATCTGCCTATCTTTGACAGCACGCATAAGAATTTGGACCGTTAACTAGTAGATAGGAGGTTGAAGTTACCGGGGAGAAGTACTTCCGTCGTTTCAACCGGTGTTTTTTCCTTCCTGCAACGCCATCTGGGTGTCAGAGCCAATCGAACAGTTTCTCTATCGACAGGAAAAAAAGGTTTAAGCAACAAAATAAATGAAACACAAAGGTAAGACTGAAACTAAAAGACCAGCAAAAAGCATGGTACACTCATCATAAAAGCATCACTAGCTTGATAGGAGCTAGCTGGAGCTATTTACCCTCACCTGTCTACAACAAGGTGATGATCATTTCTTAGCCTCTGATGCATCAGCCGGTACCCAATGCAGTTCGCAGACCCTGTTAACTCACTCTGATGATAATGATGGAGGAAACAAATTACTGCGAACATTCTTTTTTGTTAGTCTGGTCACCACACGGAAAATTTGTGGCAAACATAATTTTACAATGCTGAGTTGTAATACCTACAAACAGAATGCACAGATTACGAATTAAAGAACCGTGCCACTAACTGTAGCTTAAATCAGATCTCGTAACCATTACCCAAAGCTACTCCCGGACTTGTAAATATGTAGGCTAGGCGGGTGGCTTACCGAAATGGCTGCAATGACTTCTCTTGCAGAACTTTTATGTTTTCTTCTATATAGGCCCATGCTGTTAAGCCTTCGCCTTATGTGACGCATACTAAAAGGAGGAAAGGAATTATATTGTAGAGTTTAATATTACTAGAAAATCCTGTCCATGTACTCAGTAACAACTGTCACTAGTGCAATGGTGGAGTTCTGCATACGGTTACCTGAAATAAATCCCGTGAGCAAAGGCTAGGAAAGCCCATATTTCGGAATAACTGAAGCCTAAATCGAAGTAGTGTTTGAGGAGTTCTTCATCTGTCAAGATAAAGTTATATCAAGAAAAATTTAACTTGTATCTCTAATGACAAGTTTCATAATAATAATAATAATAATAATAGCCGTCGTCATCATTATTGTGATCGTCATAATCTTTTTGGATTGGTACTTGACCTCTTCAAAGTGCTTGCGTCTCATGAAGTCGTTTTACAAAAACTAAGGCCACGGGAGCTTGCACACAGACTAATGCTCCAGAGACTTGACAAGAAACTCAACTCAGCATATGAAACATGGCTCAAAAATAATAAGAAAAATCATATTAAATGATGATAAAAATAAAGTTAAATAATAACACATTAACTGAATAAAAAATAACGGTCATCATCAGGAATAATACTGAGCACTTCTCTTGAAGCATAATATAGCGCATAACGAGAAGCTAAGAAATACATTTTTGCTAACAACATCTTAGTTCGACAGTTCCGGTGGAGTACGGGGAAAGGGCAGACCGGCTGAAAAACAAAAATCAGATTTACTCAAAATTAGAACAGTTAACAAGGATACAAGATTGCCTATGATCCTGTATAGGTGCTATATACCTCGGAAGGACACCTCCAAATAAAGGTGCAGACTCTATCAGTAGAAGCAGGATCAACAGCAGGTTGATGACACAAATGTCATGGTTCATTAGCCCTTTCAACGCAAAACGTAGAAATCAGGTAATTAATTATCACTCTATCACATGTACTGTAATACGCATTATTATATGCAAAACTCTCAAATAAAGCGTAATGAAATAGCTTACCCATCCAGTGGAAGAGGATAACCTGACCGTTCAGAAGGTTACTACGTGTCAACACGAAAAAATCCGAGTTGTAAATTTTGAAATGCACAACTCGGATTTTGAATTTTGACTTGAACCTTTGCAGTGAAAATGATCTGACTCGGATTTTTGCGGTAAAAATTCGAGTTGCAAATTTTAAACTGCACATAACTCGGACTTTTGGGGTAAAAATTCGAGTTGCAAATTTTGAAATGCACACAACTCGAATTTCTGCGGTTAAAATTCGAGTTGCAAATTTTGAAACACACAACTAGGATTTTCGCGGTAAAAATTCGAGTTGCAAATTTTGAAATGCACATAACTCGGACTTTTGGGGTAAAAATTCGAGTTGCAAATTTTGAAATGCACACAACTCGAATTTCTGCGGTTAAAATTCGAGTTGCAAATTTTGAAACACACAACTAGGATTTTCGCGGTAAAAATTCGAGTTGCAAATTTAGAAATGCACACAACTCGAATTTCTGCGGTTAAAATTCGAGTTGCAAATTTTGAAATCGAACAACTTGGATTTTTGCAGTAAAAATTGGAATTGGAAATGTAAACTGTGAAAAAAATTAATGGATGTCCTATATGAGCCATGGTACCTATGGGATTTGGCCTCGGTGAGTATGCTGCTACCATCCCTCTAGCCCCGACCACATCCTTTACCATCCCATACAGCTCTTGTGTGGCGATGTTGATGATGGCAAGGGATTGGTTAGCAGAGGCAGGAGTCACAAGCCAGGGACCCGATGCTACCAACGGTCGACTCACTGAGTGCATACCGGGTGCCGAATATACGCTTCCAACGTTCACGATGTAGCTGATTTGGGTGTTTCCAGAGTCCATTGAGTCGAGATCTAACACTGCTATCTTGTCGCTGTAAATAAGACTGATGTAAGCAATAAAACTTCCCTTCTTGTCTAGCTTCTCATAATAAACAAGGTCGCTCACGCCACCAGCGATATCTATTATGGACTTCAAAATGGTAGCACTGTCCTTGCCAGGAATAACTAGCACATAAACTTTACTAGCAATGAGAAGGTTGGCCGACTCGTTAACGGATTTGTAAAGTGCGACGATGTAGCGGCCATCGGGTGAAACATACGGTTCCCCAGCAATGTTCCACTTCTGAACAATTTTATCAGTGGTGAGGTCCATCTCCAACAAAGCAACCTTCTTTGAGGCTCTATAACAATCAAAGAAGGCGTGTTTGTTCAGGGAGCTGTAAACGAAGTTAAAAGTTCCGGTGCAGCTGTAGTCAGAAACGTTAACAAAGGTCTTGTATGCCTTGGCTATGAGGTCGATTTGGTGCAGGCCTGGGTTGAACAAGTGAGTGACATAGCCCATTTTGCCGTCTTTCACCTCTGAGTCAGCGAACATGTACCCGTGTGTCCAACCTAAGAACGTATGTCGTTCGACAAAAGCTTTGTCAGTGTAGAGCATAGGTAAAACAAAAGTACTGAGGGATTTCTAAGAAACGCTAAGAAACTGAAGCTAACATAACAAAGCCGGTTTCCGGCCGCTAACAGAAAAAATGCTGCCAGTTTCGCGCGCAGGAAAACGTGCATCTTGGGTTCTTGATTTCTTTTTCTTTAATTTCTCGATTCTAATGCGCAATGTTTAGGTAAATGATCTAATTGAGGCTGTTTCGAGCACTAAAATACACAACCTTCAATTGACAAAAGAAAAGCATTACCCTAAGCTCGCGTTTTGTAAAGGCGAAGTTCAAAATTCCATTTCAGTTTCATAAAATTCACAAGATGAACTTACAACGGTTGCCATGCTTTGGGAGGCTAAATTCGATGCAGTCGTCAGGTGCAATCCACCGAGAAAACTGAGTTGAATTTTATAATAAGTTACAATAAGCTTAGACTGCGTTTCTCATTGGTTACACAAGAAATAACGCCAGTTCTCTGTACTGACCTGGTTCCACATGCGCCTTGATAGCCTTGTGCGTCTTACGCAGGCTTCCATCAGTGTTAATGACATCAAAAGTAGAGTTGGTCCAGGTATGTACCCAGACCTCCTTCAGCCAATGTAGGTAGTACAAATCATAAGGGTAACCCCCTGTTTGGATTGTTTCCACCACCTTTGGAGTAAATGTTTAAATTATAAGGTCATTTTACGGTTGTGTGTTCAGTGTCCTAGACTGCAGGCTAGTGTCCTGGTGTGTTTTTTCTCATCGTTTTTTAACGATCCTGGGGAGTTTTTCTGCAAAGCGGGCCAACGAACTTCTTGATCTTGAAAGTTCTTTATAAATGTTTCCAGTTGAAATTTATTAAAAATTTGAAAACCCAATCTAACATCGTCACCGTGAGGACTGCCAATCACCAGTTTGATGCGGTTTATTTATTTATTTATTTTTTTGACTTATTAAAATTCATTGATTGTATCCCAGATTAGACAGATTATCTTGCAGGATTGTCGCGTTCACTTTTACGCTTTTTCGAAAAACTTTCTCGAAAGAGCTCAGTAGAGTACTTGGTTTATATGTATTTTACCATAAATATATGCATACTACGTTCACACTTATATGACAACCTGTCTAACCACGGTCAATGTTGTGGTCCACACAAGTTAGTCGGGTAATCGTTCACGGATCGTTACGCGACTGTCCACATGGCTGCAACAAAGGCAGGTTAACTCACAGATTTCTTCTTCCTGAGTATGTTTTGTGACTGATAACGCCAGCAAAAGGCAATGCATTCATGAAGTGCTGAGATATACCGTTAGGCTATATGGAACCTAGACTTCCTCAAAGTCCTTCGCTTCTCATTTCCGGTTTCGGTAGTTGGCCCCAACTTTCGCTCTCTCGCTCGCTTTTGCCGCAGAAACACAATGAAAAATCTACCGTTAGCGCTTCGCGCCCGCCGAAATAATTTGAGTTCGACTTGTAAGCAAGTCTATATGGAACCTTACGGTTTTCTTCACAAGAAAACGTCAATGGAGAGTTGTCTGTTTTATATGAACTCATGTACTTTGCAGACCTCTTGTAGAGCTACACACTTCGTTTCGTTTCCTGTTTTTCCTCTATCCAATTTTTCAGCTCACATTGCTTAGTTTGGAACCAAAAAAACAACATCTTTTTCCCACAACGTCGCGGTGAATAACCTTTAGTAAGGTATAATAGGCTTTTGTTTCAATGAAGTGGGAGCGAGTAGGGAAGACGTAAGGAACTCGGCATACTCTATCTCAGCCTGCTGATACATTGTCAGCTAACATTGTGGTCCCGGTTCAAATCTCGGCGTTGGCGTCGATGTGGTTGATGTGGGTTGAGTTTGTTGTTGGTTCTCTCCCTTGCTAAGAGAAGTTTTTCTCCGGGTACTCAATAACCAACACCTCCGAATTCTAATTCGATCTGGAACGCACGGACACCTTTCAACGAGTGTCAAGAACTACTAAGTTCGTGGGCAAACAAATTACAGTCGACTCCAGATAACTCGAACCTTCAAGGGAAATCGAAAAAAGTTCGAGTTATCGGGAGTTCGAGCTATCGGGAGCGCGAAGAAAATAGCCGGGAGTAAGGAAAAAAAAAACAGTTTCTACTGCACAGTGAACATTTTAATCACAGTTAATTGTAGAAATGTTAAATTGAGTGTACATTTAGTTCGTTTAATAATGTCTTAGTTTTGCTTTGCGTTATTTTCCTCACTTATGTGTTGTCCGCGACCGTGCTCACACGGTGGGTGGCTCCTCCTAAAATGTTCTGCAATTGGTATAGGATTTATTGGAGCCGAAACCAATTGTGTAAATGCACGCATTTTAGGCATCCTACTGATGAACAGTTGGAACACGTAGATATATTTTTTAGCAACTACTATAATTTGCAGTCTGTCTACTTTGAATTTGAATTGATGTGAAAATTGAAAGATACTTCTAGATTAAAAATGATAGCGTAACCTAACAAAATGTTGCCCAAATAGAGCATACGTTTTACTGTTTTGAGAAGTAAAGCTGTTTCACGTTAGATTTGTGAAAAACAACATCAGCCTCCACTAGTAAACTATACGCCTACCAGACCGCGTCAACATGGGAAATTCAAAATTCAATGTTTCGGACGCCAGTTGGCTGTTTTTTTTTTTCCCGAATTTTTAAGGGCTCAAAACATGGTTCGAGTTATCGAGGGTAAAATTATATAGAAATGATCTGAGGGGAAACAAAAACTACTTCGAGTTAGTGTAGGAAGCCATTTAATACCTTCTGCTGCTGTACATCAATAACGTGAACTCGATTCCCAGGCATGTCGCTGAAGAAGATAAGTTCGTCTCTCACCACTGTATTCTTACCGAAGGAACATTTATTCCTGATAAAAAAAAAAAAAAGAACAACAACAGAGCAGTTACAATTCACATTGTAATCAGCCATATTTTTGGCGAGGCATGTGAAAAATTTCGGCAAACACTGTTGTTACAAGTACGATCACCTGGAAAACCTGTTGTTTGATTTGGTACAAACACCATCAGGACCGATTGTAGACGAAATTTCTTTACTCTTTGGATCTATGATGTAGATGTTCTCTGATCCGAACACGTAAAACACAATACGTTGGTCAGTTTGCTCCGGAGTGGCTTCACCGACACTGCAAGAAACTAAACACATGAGAAAAGACAGTGAAAGAACTGAACATTGGCCAGCCGACATAAAGGTAGACTAGCTAAACAAAAATTTCCTCTTATTCTTCTCGCCCTTCTCGTTTCCCGTTTTCCTTTTTCTTTTACTTCCTCCTCCTACGATGTTACTAAACGCAGAACGAGGCACGGGAAACGGGAAAATATAAAATGGGAAGAAATCTAACACTAGCTATTCATTATTATTATTATAACATAGCTAGAATATTCGCTTATGCATGCATCAAATCAGTCTCTCAACGGACACTCCTTTGGAGAGACTATGATGAAATTCAATAGCGCGAGCGGTACTAGCGTTCTTCATATTCCCATTGTGCACGCTGATGAAGCTAACAACTAAGGCTATTGTCACTCCTTACCGGATCGAGAACCGCGAGAACAATGACTTCGGCGCAATTTCTGTAACGGAGCGAAGCTGCTCAGCGCCGGTCTAGAAAGTGGAGCGTCACATATCGGATAGGTTCTGTGCCACACTTTAGTGTAGTATGAACAGGTGGTCGGACTGTAGTATAGCGGACCGGGAAGGTGGATAAGTAGGGGCGTGGACCGGAACCAACTGACACGGAAGAAAATATTCAGAAGCAAGGACTGGAATGTTAAGTTCACAAAACCCTCTTGGCCAATCGCACCGGTTCGATGTTCCATGTGTGTGAACGATTTGTTCCAGTCCCGAGCCGTTGTTATTGTTGTTGTTGTTTTTTTTTTTACTGTTTCGGAAAGCGTTTCGTGTCGACACAAAAAGCTATACGGTATAGTGTACACATAGCTTAATACATCGAGTTCTTGAGCGCTTAGTAATCCTTCCTATACTTGCATCGATAACTAAATAGTACACGCTGAACCGTTGACCATGTGATTTATAACATAAACTAAAGAGAAAAGCTTTGGAATTTGATAACAGATAGTAGAGGAATGAGATGAGTTTTGTCATCTGCGCGCTATGGCGTGAGCAAATATTTTTTTGCAAAGTCTTTTCGTTTTGGCAAAAAATCGCCCCATGTAAGGGGCGATTCAAGGACAGTCTTGAATTCTGGATTCTAGCCAGGTACTGGATTCCGGATTCCAAGCGTTAGTGGGATTCCGAATTCCTTGAGTGTATTCCAGATTCCAAAGCCCAGGATCCTGGATGCCATTATCCTGTGTCAGGCTCTCAGATAGTATGGTGGGAAGGCTGGTGGGGACGTATTAAAACGAGCAGAGCGAAAATAAGACGCGCGCGACTTTGGAAAAGTACGGTGGCAGCGGGAAAAATGTCTCTCCCCAGCCCCCGCGCGTTTTTCGCATTTCTTTTTACGCCTTTTTACTGAACGACTTTTCACCACTATCTTGGAGCCTGGAACAGGCTAGGATTCCATAAGCGAAAGTTCCTAGGACTCTAGATTCCGGATTCCCTTAAAGGGGCGAAAAAAAATCCTTTCACTGAATTAATAGTTCATCCGTCTTAAAATGGAGCGTAAAACCCGTTATCTTAAACAAATTCTGTAAACTTTCTCCCAGTATTACGAGTAAAACCTTTGCAATCTATGAGGTAAAAACAATGCACAAAACGAACAGTTTTACCTACGTTCGCGGCCAGTTGAGCAAATTTGTTGTAACTTTAGAATGCTAAAGTTGCTACTTATTTTTTCTAGGTGCAAACTTCGTTCAAAAGTGAAAGTTTACTTCCCTACAGGAGAGGCATATATGTGGAGTAATTATTAGGTTTACGCAGATTTTGTTTTACTTTTGCTTTTGGCAACAAATCTGGTTGTTTTCCATTTTCATGGATAAACCGGTCGGTGCACGTACCATCCTTTGTTTAAAATTTCACAATATCAAGGGACTTGATCACGTTTATGACCCTTCTCGAATGTTCCCTCAGCCTGCGGCTTCCTTCTTTGCATGCTGTTTTTGAATTACTTGTTTCTCTTGCTACGGCTGATAATTAGTCTTTTTGGGCTTGTTTTGAAAGGAATGAAAAGAAAAGAACTTGGCCAATATCCAGCCATCCTGACCTCAGTACGGATATAAATAACACAGCCAATACAAAAGGAGGCACGGATGGACAAACTTGAAGAAGATTAAAACAGATTGCTATTGTGTTTTTTGAAAACTTGTTAGCCTGACAGTTTTTCATCATTTCCTTGTTTGCGACGTATGCTTGGAAGACATACAGTAAAACCAAGAGAGGATAAAGGGGACAGAGAAGGCATCCCCAATACACACCCTATTCCATAGGCAATTCGTCTCGAGTTATTTTTAGAATCGGGACAAAATTACCTCGCGCGAGGCGTGGATGTTTCGTGGAGGTTTCGCGTGACTAAACGCCGTGCAAAACATGTCGGGCGAAAGGCAATGAAAGCGTAAAGAGATCGAGAGCATTTCTGAATATTGAAGCGAAATGAGTCGCGCTCACCTGGGAAAAGGGAATCGCTGGACTATTTGACAACCGGTGAAATCAGTTTAACTCGAAGTTGTCCTAACCTCAGTGCTTTTAATAATAAAATGAGAAATTTCGCCGGTCTATGGAAACCGGTCGTTTGTACAATAAAGCAAGTAGGACGCCAAGTGTTATTTTTGTTGAATAATAAAAGACCAATAAAAGAATAAAAATCAAACCAGAAATTACTCTCTTCAAACTGTAAATTATAAATGATCCTGAGAGAATATTCAGTGTGTTAAGGATTTCCCTGCTGTACTGTTAGCTCTATACAAGAGAGGAAGGGCGATTCTTTTTCAATTTCCGTTTCGCTGACACAGCTTTAGCAGAAATCTCTCTGTAGTCGTTTTCGTCGACAAAAACGAATAGCAATATCGCTCTCCGCGTCTTCCGCAATTTTGTTCTGCGTCAATTCGTGAAGGACGCTTGGCTCTGAGCTTGGGTCATCCACGCGGAGCATATTCGCGCTATGTGATTGGCTGTTGTCTAATCCCCCTTGGGATCTGTGGTCTTAAAAATAACTCGAGACGAATTACCTATGGAATAGGGTGTGTATGGGGGATGCCTTCTCTGTCCCCTTTATCTTCTCTTGAGTAAAACCCCGCGACTAAGAACCTGGATGTTTCCAAGTTAGCCTAAACAGGTTCTTTGCTATATAAATGGTAGTTAGCACAAATTTAGCCTATTTAGGTTCTTATTTTCTGAAGAAAAAAAATACAATTAAGCTAAGAGTATTCAGTGGTTCAGCTTATTCCTCATATAAAACCTGCAGACCGTTAGATTGCAGTTGGAGTGATACGACACCTTTGTCTCCAAAGAGGATTCTGAATGTTGACTTATCTTATTTGCCCAAGTGTACTGAATTTTTTCATAGATTATAGAGCATAAGAAACTGTTTCAAATTTTAGGATAAACAGGTTCTTATATAGAGGGGGCTTAACTGGAAAATTTTAGCCTAACAGGTTCTTAAAATCCAGGTTCTTAGTCGCGGGGTTTTACTCTATTGATTGTTTGGCAAGAAGCTGTAATTTGGTCATTCACGAGTAATTGTTCAAGTTCCATATCGAAAAAGGTCACGTAATTGGCATCATAAACGAAATGAACAAGCCAGCCGTGAAAAAAAAAACAACCCCTTTGATAATAGTAGAGAAAACCGCAAACATTCAAAACCGAACTAACAACGGTATTTGTTTATGAAACTTCATTCCAAAGCGCTCAGGCTTAGCTTGGTTTAGTTCTGGAATTTTTGTCGCACAAAATAGAAACAATAGATCAGTTCGGAGGTTTGTTGTGGTTTGGAATGCTTCATGCGCTTTGATACTCACACGGGCATGAAAGGGGTTATCGCGTGATATAGCATTAAGCGTCTTCAATTTTCGTGAAAGGTGAAAATACCAAACTAAAATGCGAGAGTTACAGTCCTTTCACTTCGGAAATTTTTGGGAAACGCGAATACGGAAGTCAAATCACCGTGATGCCTAATTTCTACTTTTTAATGTCCGTGAAACCTGCGTAAGACTCCCCCCTCTCCCCCCCTCCCTTAACCCCCTCGTTAAATCCAACGACACTTCGGAGTAGTATGTCTGAACGTCGAAATTGTGTTATACTTTTTCATCGTCCTTTTTTTTTCGATACATTACTCAGCGAAGCCAGAACTGAGCTCCAGACTCCAGACATACTGTAGGTTCTGTATTACTGCGTGCTGTGAAGTTAAATATAGGTGCTGGGATGAGGAAATTGTTATCGTTTGACTTAGTTCAATCCCCGCGCCTAACTGCCACTTAGGTCAGTGGCTTATCATTGGTCATATTAGCGACTGTGTGAAAATACATAATCATGGAAAATCACCAAAATTATATTACTTAGAGAAACAGTATCATATTGAAAACCGAATCCTTGACACAGACCCCAGTCAAATTCTGGGCAAATTGGAAAATATTGCGGCCAAATAGGCGAGTCTGCTCAACGTTAACAACTTACCAGACAAAATGACTGTAAAAATTAGAAGCGAAGCTGAAAACCAATGCATTGCTCGGGAATTTCTTGTGATTTATCTGCCGTAGATATTGCTTCCTCGCTGACTTTGAGTGCCTGACGCGATATATTTGATACTGGAGGGTCAAGTGTAGTGTGCCCAGGCTTCCACTCTTACCGTAATCCGGAGTAGAGCTGGTCGCGAGGAAGCCAGAGAGAGGGTTCTCTGACAATAGCCAGGAACGGAGACCACCGTCTTTGTCTTTCGCTGACAAGTTTTGCGATTCAGTAAAGGCAACAGAATATGAAGGGAGATTCCTTCTCAGTTTACATATCAATGGATTAAAACCAGGCCTAGAGAAGACTCGCAAAGTCACTCAGATAACATTTAGCTATTGTTTTGCTCTTTTACGGAGGACTTCTTTATTGCCTAAGAACCAATTGCTGGTAATAAGTTTATGCGTTACTAAAAGCACACCACATTCCTGGCTTAAACCAATAAATACACTACATTCTTGCTTGAACCTCAAACATACATGCAAACTGAAATCCCCACAGTTGTACAGAAGAGTCCGGGGTTTTCGTTACGTTAAGATATTTTGAAAAGTTTCGGCTGTCATTAATAGATGGCCTGTTATTGCCATCTACAAAATGATGTTAATATTATGGGATAAATATGCAAATGAGGCTGCTGAGGGCCAGTGACGTCATCCAACAACAACTTCGAGTTAAACTGATTTCACGGGTTGTCAAAGAGTCCAGCGATTCCTTCACCCAGGTGAGCGCCGTCTCATTTCGCTTCAATATTCAGGAATGCCCTCGATCTTTTTACGCTTTCATTGCCTCTCGCCCGACATGTTTTGCACGGCGTTTGGTCATGCGAAACCTCCACGAAACATCCACGCCTCGCGCGAGGTAACTTTATCCCGATTCTAAAAATAACACGAGACGAGTTACCTATGGAATAGGGTGTATATGGGGGATGCCCTCTCTGTCCCCTTTATAGTTTCTTGATTCTAATATATTTCAAATTTTACACCACACCTAACTTGTCATTCAATATCGGCCTACATCTATCGGCTGATTTTTACCAAGTTCACATCAAATATGTCTCAAGGATAAACAAACAACCACCGGAATGGTATAAAATTTTGAAATACCCGAGAGGGTGGGGTGGCATCCACCTTCCCGACCTCCCTTATATATTACAGGGACAAACTGAATCGGAACGGCGTCTTATTTCAGGGTCGTAACATGGTATATCCGGGTCCCACTGATCCCTATTTTCTTTCCTTCATTTTGATCCCTGAGACCCATTTTCCCCAAAATTTTGATCCCTGAGCCCTGATAAAAGAATTGATCCCATCCATGTTTTTTACACAAAATTCTAACTTAGGCAACTTTTTTTATCTCCAAATATAGAATATAGAACATGCTCAAATGGGTTGATGAGAAAAACATTAACTTTAATTTTTTAGTGCAAGTTGAAGGTTC